CAAGGGGTTCCTCTTGGATGAAGCGGATGCTCGGCAGAACCCTTTGTTTTGTCAGCATTCGTTTTGCATGCCCCACTGGCAGCACCTCGTGTCCTCTCCACCTCACACATTTCAGAGGTCTCAAAACTTCGCCACCCACCCCACATCCACCCTCTTTGTTTCCCCCTCAGATCTCTAGACAGCACCCTCACATGCCCCCTTTCGCTTGCACGCAGCTCCGTCGACAACACACACACATCCACCCACCACTCATCTCTATCCTCAATACAAACCCCTTTTTTCCACGCAGCTCTGTTGACAGCACAGCCACAAGCCCCGCTGCTGCCACCAATCGCTCCTCCCACCTCAAGGATATGCCTGCTAGAGATGACCCCAAGAACTTCTGCCGTTTCGTCTGCCCCTCCCTCTTCCAGGGGGCGCATCCATCTCTTCCTCCATCCACACCCTTTGGCTCTGCACTCATGCCCAACCACCCCACATTCCTCCCTGCATCCACCCCTCTTGCTACTGTGCAGCCTTGTTGACAGCACGCTCACGTGCCCCCTGGATGGCACCAACTGCTCCTCGCAGCTGAAGGAGCTGGCCGCTAGGGTATACTCCAACGGCTTCTGCCGTGTCGTCTGCCCCTCCTTCTGCCAGACCTGCATCGCACCCCCTGCAGATCCCTCGGGGGGGATTCAGGAGGAGGGGATGGAGGGGGTCTGGGAGGGGGTCTGGGAGGAGGGGGTTTGGGAGGGGGTTTGGGAAGGGGCTTGGGAGGGGGGCTTGGTAGTAGCTCGATTGGGGAATTTGGAAGCAGCGGGGGTTTGGTGACTAGCAGCAGGTTCGGAAGCAGCTTTGGATGGCTGAGTAACAAGGAGGCTCGTAAGAGAGGGAAGCGGCTTCACTAGCATTGCACTGTCAGTTTTACTGCTCGTGGGGGAGGAGAATCTCTGTGCAGCATGCTAATGGGTTTTCTTTTCGGTCTGTGTGTGTGTGTGTGTGTGTGTGCCTGTGTGGCGTGTGGGCGCATCTCCATGTGCGTGCGTGCGTGCATGGGTGCATGCACGCATGTCCATGTGCGTGCTTGCATGGCTGCGTGTGTGTGCATGCGTGCATGCATGTGTGTGTGGGTGCATGCACGGGTGCGTGCGTGCAAGCGTGCGTGTGCATGTGCGTGCATGCCCGGGTGCATGCCTGTAGGTGTGTGCATTCATGGGTGCGTGCCAGCGTGCGAGCTTGCGTGTACGTGCTTCCGCTGTTCAGTTGGAGCCTTCAGATTCATCCACCATTAATCTTATTTCTCTTCTACTTCATGTCTCATCTTACCCTAAACCCCTCCCTGACCCCCTCCTCTTGTGCATCTCTCGGGCCACTCAGCTCTGAGTGGCAGCTCAAGAGCTCAAGTACCAGTAGTCTCTGGTATTGGTTCTATCAGTAGTATTTGTCCTAGTGTTTGAGTCAGTAGTGCCGGTGGTAAGGGGGTAGTATCGAGATCATTCATTTCACTACTAACCAGGATCCCTGCTGAGTTTGGTCACATGCTGCTGAACCTCTAATCTGGTTTTTTTGCTTTCTGATGATTTTTTTGACACATTTTTATATTTTTTTGTGTCAACTTATACATATGCGTTGTATGTTTAGTTACAGGCTATATCGGTAAGTGCTATTAGAGAGTACAACACCAAACCATATATCCCACATGTATGCCTTGCTAGAGTCCACTTAGCTATTCAAACATGTCATAACGCGAGTTAGGTGTCAACTTATACATATTAGCTATGTAGAAGCTATAGGTTAGACTGGGGTATGCCTCTAGTGAGTACAACCAACTAGTATTTGTTCTAGGTTTCTCCTAGTTCATTCATTCAGTTCTTACTTTTAAATGGTATCGCGCGTAGGTTAGAATCCCCCACCTACCGCTTCCGCCCGTACCCTAGCTAGGCCCTGCCGCATCCCCCCCTGGGCCCCGTCGCGCCTCCTAGCCCCGCCGCGCCCCTCCTGGGCCCCGCCGCGCCTGCTAGCCCCGTCGCGCCCCTCCTGGGCCCCGTCGTGCCTCCTAGGCCCCGTCGCGCCCTGCCTGGCCCCGTCGCGCCCGCCTGGCCCCGGCGTGCCCCTCCTGGGCCCTGTCGCGCCTCCTAGCCCGTCGCGCCTCCTAGCCCCGTCGCCCCTCCTGGGCCCCGCCGCGCCTCCTAGCCCCGTCGCGCCCCTTCTGCACCCCGCCGCGCCTCCTAGCCCCGTCGCGCCGCTCTAGGGCCCCGTCGTGCCTCCTAGGCCCCGTCGCGCCAGCTCCGGCCCCGTCGCGCCCGCTCCGGCCCCGTCGCGCACTGCCTAGCCTCGTCGCGCCCGCTACGCCCCGTCGCGCCCTGCCTGGCCCCGTCGCGCCCGCCTGGCCCCGTCGCCGCCTGCCTGGCCCCGTCGCGCCTGCCTGACCCCTCCGCGCCTGCCTGGCCCCGCCGCGCCTGCCTGGCCCCGCCGCGCCTGCCTAGCCCTGCCGCGCCTGCCTGGCCCCGTCGCGCCCGCCTGGCCTTGTGGCGGCCTGCCGGCCCCGTCGCGCCTACCTGGCCCCTCCGCGCCTACCTGGCCCTGCCGCGCCTGCCTGGCCCCGCCGCGCCTGCCTGGCCCCGCCGCGCCTCCCTGGCCCCGCTGCGCCTGCCTGGCCCCGCCGCGCCTGCCTGGCCCCCCCGCGCCTGCCTGACACCTCTGCGCCTGCCTGCCTGGCCCCGCCGAGCCCGCCGGGCCCTGCCGCGCCTCCCTGGCCCCGCCGCACCTGCCTGGCCCCACCGCGTCTGCCTGGCCTCTCCCACTGCCCGCCCGGCCCCTCTTCGTGCCTGTTCGGCGTGCCGTGCCACCTCGAGCTCCGTCTACTCTGCTCGCCAGCGCCGGGGCGCCTCGCGGCCGCCGTGCTGGAGAGTGCTGCGGCCGTATCCCTGCGTCGCTGTGTCCCTGCGGAGCTGTGGAGCTGTGTCGCTGACCCTGCACGATGGCTGACTTCGTGCTCCGACTGGACGCCGAGGGCCATGCAGTTGACTTCGCCGCCTGGCTCTCCGATCTCCGCCGCCACCTTACAGGTCAGCGCCAGGATGGCCACTCTTTGGTTGTTCATGTCGATGGCTTGCTCCCCCGCCCCCCCGCACCTGCTCCGCTCCTGCTGACCCCTCCTCTGATGACCGTGAGGCCTTCTCTACTGCTGCGCTTGCCTGTGCGGTCTGGGACTCCCGCGATGCAGTCGCTCATGTTGCTATTAGCCACGCCCACCCTGTGTCTAAGCGCTCGCGTTTTGCTACTGTTGAGACGGCCAAAGCCTACTTAGACGCTGTTATTGCTCGCTATTCCACACCCGCGTCTGCTTCTGTTGGCCGCCTGCTCTTCCCGATGCTGTTCCCAGACCTTGCAGCCTTCCCTACCGTCGCAGACTTTGCCACTCACCTGCGTGCCCTAGAGACCCGCTATCGCACTGCCAGCACTGCTGCCCAGCTCACTGCGCTCCCCCCCCTTTTTGCATGACGCTCTATTTTATCGCCATGCGCCTGCCAGACCGCCTCGCTAGTGCTCGCGATCACTTCCTTAGCCAGCACAACAGTGACCTCACCCTCACCACCTTTGTCGACACCCTCACCGAGATTGAGACTCGCCAGCGCACTATCGCTCAGTCGAGCGGTGCGCCGGCAATCTCTATCTTTCACGGCTGTGCCCCCTCCCAGTGCACGTTCACTGACGTTTCGGCTGCGGTCGCCATGGCGACCCCTCTCACCGAGACGGCTGCTGCGGTCCACCCGCAGCAGCGCTCGCGCCGCGGTGGCCGTGGCCGCCAGGGAGGTAGAGGTGGTGGCGCAGGTGGTGGTGGTCGTGGTGGTGGTGACGGTAGTCCGCCTGAGGGGACTACCACCGGTGGGCAGGAGCAGCAGCCCCAGCCGCAGCAGGAGCAGCCCCAGCAGCAGCCGCCGTCCCAGCAGCAGCCGCCGCAGCCGTGGGCCCGTCTCCCGCCTGGTTGGCCCGGTACCTCTGGAGGTAGTGGCCGTGGTGGCGGCCCGCGCAGCTCGGTGTCTACCGGCGGCTCTGGTGCTGTCACTTGCCAGTACCAGCTTCAGACCGGGCCTCTTCGCGGCACTCTGTGCCGCCACCCGCACCTGACCGCCCGCTGTTTCCGCCGCCTCGACGATCTCTTTCGTCGTCGCTTTGGCCCGGCCCCGGACCTCCCCGACTGGCACAGCCTGCTCCGCCAAGGCGTGCCGATCTTTGAGTTAGACATGGATCAGATAGGTGCTGCTTTGCATGCCTTGTATTCTGACGCTTCTAGTGTTGCTGGATCTTATTACCTTGTGTACTCTAGTTTAGGCGTTCCACCGTTGTGTAGCTTAGCCTCCCCTGCTGCGTCAGGCGTAGGACTGCCTAGTTTGCCTAGCCTAGTCTCTGCACCGGCTCCGTTCCCGGCCTCCGCCACCGCTTCGCTGTCCTTCACTCTCGACTCCGGTGCTTCTGCCTGCTTCTTCCTCGAACGTTCTGCGCTCACGCCGCTTGCTACGCCTGCTGTTGTCACTCTCGCTGACCCCTCTGCAGGACCTATCGTCGTTCGCAGCTCCACGTCCCTTCCCTGTCCAGCAGTTCCCTCGGGCTCCCTTACAAGCCTCCACGTTCCCTCGTTCTCGAGGAACCTGGTTGGTGTCGGCTGTCTCCAGGACCTCGGCGTCACCACCACGTTTCCTGGGCACGAGCGGTTCGCTGTCTGTTCTGAGGCTGTGTCAGGTTCCCCCCTTGCGACGTTCCCCCGGGACTCGGTGTCCAGTCTGTTTACCCTCGACAACGCTTCCCCCCCGGTTGGTGCGTCCTCCCAGGTCGCAACAGCTTGCTCGTGTCGGTCCCTCACTCACCCTTCCTGTGAGAGTACGACCCCGTTACACCACTTTTCCCTTTTCTTATTTCCTTCCTCGTTCATTTCTCTTTATCTCATCTCATTTGGTTTCCTATTCTCCATTTTCCCTTAACCTTTGGTTTATCTTACTATTATCATTATATCACCGACCAGGCTTGGGATGTACTGGTGCGCTATCTGGCGTAATCCTGTCGTAATCCCTTAAAGCCAATAGCCTCGCGTGGCTATACACAGGGTGATTCTATTTCTAGAAGGGTCTATTTCCTTAGGATAAGATAAACCTGGTTACCTGATGTACTTTGGAAGTATAAAAGCACCTTGTACTGATCATTAGTACAACCTTTCCTCGACACATTCGATCCTGTGACACTTGGTAATCAGAGCTTTTCCCACTCGACCGCGCTCAGCTAAGCAGCAGCAGCAGGGATCCTGCCTCGAAAAACCGCCGGGGGCGACCAATTCGACGCCGATTCTGGTAAGCACCAGCTCCGCGATTTTCGAATTACCCCCTCCGTGCGTGTTTTGAACAGGATGGCAACCTTTGACAACGCCGAGGTTACCCAGCAGCTCTTCGCGCGCATCGCAGCCCTTCAGGAGGAAATGCGAGCGGATCGCGAAGCGTGGCGAAACCAGTTCGAGCGAGTAACTCGACTCGCCGGAGCGCAGCACGAGACGACAACGGCGACGACGCAGCAGTCGCAGCAGTTTCTCGAGGCTCCAAAACCGCGCCCACATGAGCCGTTCGATCCGAGCGATCGAAACTCCGACGCCAGCAGATGGATCACCGGGATGGAGATCTACTTCGCAGCCGTCGGATGGAGCTCGCCAGTCTGGGACGGACAACGTGTACGACTCGCGGCGACACTGATGCGAGGGCCGGCACTCGAGTGGATTGGCGGCAACAGTTTCATCCACGGTGAAGCCACGTGGCAGCAGTTCCGCACCGACCTGCTGAAACGATTCGAGCCGATAAATTCGAGTTTCCTTGCCCGGGAAAAAATTCATCCACACCGACAGTTCGGGAGTGTAGCGCAGTACACGCAGCAGATGGAGGAATTTTATAACCGCATTCCCGATCTGACCGAAGGGGAAAAAGTACAATCGTACCTCGCCGGGCTGAAGATCGAAGTCAAACGACAAGTCGCAGCGTCAAACTACGCGAGCTACAGTGACGTCGTTTCGGTAGCGGAGCGCTTCGACATGGTCAACGCCAGAACACGACGGACACACGTCGGCAGTACGCGACACGGGGACCGCTCGGCTCACCCCACGTTCGCCGACCCGATGGAAGTCGACAGATTCGAGGGGCGGCCACGTCCGAAAAAACACCAACTACACGTGTGACTTTTGCGGGGTGCCGGGCCATCGAATCTTCGACTGCAGCAAAATGAAAGCCGCACGCACAGAGTATCGGGCACGCAACAGTGGCGGAATTCCTTCAGCCAATCAGAAGTCAAAAAACGGGAGTCGCCAGTGATTGCGGATCTAGCTGGCGAAAATAAAAAGATCCGAAAACGGCCACGGGATTCCGGAAAAATCAACTTCGACGAAGCTGATTCGACGTGAGAAGGAGGAAATGATGGGGGAAAATCTCCACCCCACAACCAGTCCTCGCCAGGGAAAATCGCCGAGGAAAATTACAACTCCGCGAAAAAAGGCTTTGCCGAAACAGGGAAACTCCTTGAAGACCCAAGAAATTATCAGAATTCGTTAAAGTTATCTTATAAAGATGCTTTAATGAAAACTTATGAATTTTTAGGGGCTAGAGCCTTGGAGAAATTTCGGGAGGGACTCCAAAAGAAGCTGACAGCTGTGGAGATTATACCGGTGCCGGAAAACCTGGGGACCAAATTTAGGAGTGTGGAAAGAAGCCGACCTTTCCACGGAGTCAACGTCCTCTCCCGACACCAGCCCACAACGACTACTCGTTCCCCAGGGAAGACGTCGATGGAGCTGAAGCAGCTCAAGAGGAAGCTGGGGGTCTACAAGAAGCTGCACAAACCCCGAACTCTCCTACGGATGCATCCAGTTCTTCGGCATCAGTGACGCGCACAGTGGTCAAAGAAACTCCGGGCCCTGGAGAAGAGCCGTTCTCCAAGCAGCCTCGGCAAGCTGCCAGCTCAGGAGTAGATAGCAACACAAAGGTGTGTACGGAGTATTGGGATGTACCCTATGACCCAATCAATGAAACTATCTTTGGGTACTCCGAGCAACGACTGCCCCTCGTACTCGAGGTCATCTGCAAAGGACGACGCCTCCAAGCACTCGTGGACAGCGGAGCATCACACACCGTCTGCAACAAGACAATAATCGACTGACTTCGGGGAGAGTACAAGCCTTCAGGATTCTCTGCAACGATGGTGGACGGCAGCAAGTTACCAGTATACGGCGAAAACATTGCTACACCTACAAATCGGACCACTGCGCTGGAGACCTGCACTCCCCATCACCAACATCAAAGGGCTTGACCTGATCTTCGGGCGAGACTTCCTGAAAAGATTCAACCCCGAGATCAACTGGGTGAACCGCACCGCAAGCATCTACAACAATGGACGGAGAGTACAGCTACCCAACTAGGACGATACTGGAGATATCCCAATGGAGACACTCGCACGATTCGAGAAGGACGTGAAGCGGACCGACACCGGGTTCTTGGCGATAGCAACAGAGGTGGAGAATGACGGAGAGAAAGCCTCGGAACCTCAAGAAAAAATCAAGGAATTACTGAAGGAGTTCCAAGACATTCTTCCTTACGATCTTCCGAACGAGCTACCGCCATACGAACGCATCAACACGAGATCGTGTAGGAACCGGGTTCGAAGCGACCTTCCGAGCACCATACCGGCTCAGCCCTACGGAGCTGACCGACATGAAAAAACAGATCGAGTATCTCCTAGCCAAAGGACTCATCCGACCATCCACTTCGCCATACGGTGCCCCAGTACTCTTCACACCGAAACCGGACGGAAGCCTGCGCATGTGCATCGACTACCGAGCTCTTAACAAGCAGACCATCAAGAATAAATATCCGATACCGCGAATCGATGACCTGCTTGACCAGCTTCGGGGAGCTACGGTATTTTCCAAACTGGATCTGCGGTCCGGATACTGGCAGATACGGATGGCGGACAACTCTATCCACAAAACTGCTTTCCGAACTCGGTACGGATCGTACGAGTATTTGGTAATGCCGTTCGGACTCACCAACGCACCGGCAACGTTCCAAGCCGAAATGAACCACATTCTACGACCACTTCTGGACGAATGCGTGGTGGTGTACCTGGACGACATACTCATCTACTCGCGCGACATGAAGCAGCACGTCGAACACCTGCGACGCGTCTTCGAAATTCTTCGACGGAACGATTCTACGTCAAACTGTCCAAGAGCGAATTCGCCCTTGAAAAGGTCCAGTTCCTAGGACACATGGTGAGCGCTCAAGGAGTTCACGTCGACCCCAAGAAAATCGAAGCCGTACGTACGTGGAAGACACCCGAGAACGTGAAGGAGTTGCAGCAGTTCCTAGGCTTCGCTAATTACTACAACAGGTTCGTGCCACAGTATGCGAAAATCGCAGCACCACTCACGAATCTGCTGAAGAAGAACACGCCCTACAAATGGGACCAAGCACCAGGAAGCCGTGGAGCAGCTGAAACAAGCACTCACGTCCGCACCGGTACTCATCTTGCCAGATCCCGAACGCGACTACGTAATCGAAGCTGACGCCAGCGACCAGGCAGTGGCAGTCTTAATGCAAGACCAGGGGAATGGACTGCAACCAATCGCTACCTCAGCAAGAAACTGCACGGGGCAGAACTAAACTACCCGATACACGACAAAGAGGCCCTTGCTATCGTCATCGCCTTCAAAGCGTGGAGATGTTATCTCGAAGGACGAAGAACAACCGTCTACACCGACCACTGCAGCCTGAAATACTTGAAGACACAACCCAACTTTCCAGGCGGCAGGTCCGGTGGATCGACTTCCTCGAGACACACTTCCACTACGACATCGTGTACAAGCCCGGCCACAAAAAAAAGCAGACGCTCTCAGCCGGCCTGCACACGTTGCCGCTATTCAGGTCGAAGGGATGAATCCACTACTCAAGGGACTCTTCACACACGGGTACGCCATCGACCCCGAAATTCCCTTGGCAGAAAAGCGACATCTGCTACAGTGGGACAGTGACATCGCGTACCGGAAAGGATCAACAAAAATCTGGGTACCCAATTACCCTCCTTTGCGCCAGTTACTACTCGAAGAATACCACGACGTCCTGTACGCCGGACACTTCGGTAGCAACAAGACGCTCACCGGTATCGCCAAACACTACTACTGGCCCCATATGGCAGACGACGTCCAGAAATTCGTCACCTCGTGTGATACATGTCAGCGGATGAAGAGCAGCAAGCAGAAAAAGGCGGGACTACTGCAGCCTCTTCCTGTCCCAGAACAACCATGGCAAGTGGTTAGCCTAGACTTCATCACCGGGTTACCACCTACCTCCAGCGGTCATGACGCCATCCTTGTCGTCATTGACAAGTTCTCCAAAATGGGACACTTCATCCCGACACACACGACGGCACGCACCGAGAGACAGCACAGCTCTTCGTTCGTCACATCATCTCACAGCATGGCATCCCAACCACACTCATTTCCGACCGAGACCCCAAGTTCACCAGCAAGTTCTGGAAGGAACTTATGTCTCTCTCGGGACCAAACTCGCCATGTCATCCGCATACCATCCGCAGACAGACGGACAGACCGAGCGCCTCAACCAAATTGTTGAGCAACTCCTCCGAGCAGCCTGCAAGGACGACATCTCCAAATGGGACTTGCACCTGCCCGTCCTGAGTTTGCTTACAACAATGCCACACATGCCGCTACTGGACAGACGCCGTTCTTCCTCTGCTACGGACGCCACCCACTCACACACACACAAAACCGACACATCCGCTACAGTCAACCTGCACATGATTTCATCACAACCATGCATCAGCTTTGGGATCGGACCCACAAGCGCCTCCTCGACATTCAACAGCAACAAAACGCCAGGCCGATCGCCATCGCAACGACCACACCATCACGGTGGGAGACCAGGTGCTTCTTGACACCCGCAACCTGGACATCAGCCACCTCCATCTAAACTTCGACCTCGCTTCTGCGGCCTTTTCTCGTTGAAGCACGACGTCGGAATGGTACCGTGGAGCTTCTCATCCGTTGGAAGGGTTATGATCCTTCTGAGGACAGCTGGGTCCCTGAGTCCGACATGGAACGTCCGTCGTCCTCTGCATGACTACCTTGTCAAGCAGGGTGTTACTTCTACCACCCAGCTTTGAGGGGGGAAGTGTGAGAGTACGACCCCGTTACACCACTTGTCCCTTTTCTTATTTCCTTCCTCGTTCATTTCTCTTTATCTCATCTCATTTGGTTTCCTATTCTCCATTTTCCCTTAACCTTTGGTTTATCCTGCTATTATAATTATATCACCGACCAGGCTTGGGATGTACTGGTGCACTATCTGGCGTAATCCTGCCGTAATCCCTTAAAGCCAATAGCCTCGCGTGGCTATACGCAGGGTGATTCTATTTCTAGAAGGGTCTATTTCCTTAGGATAAGATAAACCTGGTTACCTGATGACTTAAGTATAAAACACCTTGTACTGATCATTAGTGCAACCTTTCCTCGACACATTCGATCCTGTGACAAAGGCGGTAGCAGCAGCGGTAACAATAGAAGCAATAGCGGTAGGAGCAGCACACGCAGCAGCAGCAGAAGAGGCAGAAGAAATCACTAAGGAAGTAGTGTCGTTTAGGGTCAATATGAAGAGGAAGAAGTCCAAGAAGCAATGTGTAGATGATCAACTCCTCGTAGTTGTTTGGACATCCCTTTTGGTAGATTGTAGTGTCTCTGAGTAGGTTTAACACAGTGACTGCTATTGTGGCCTTCTTAATAGATTGTTAGCTTTGCAAGTATGTTTCTTCTGATAACCGAGGAATTCAAACAATATTCTTTTTATGAGTCGGACATAGCTCAAATGGCCTTCTGATGATCGTCAGAAACTAGAAAAGGCATAGGGAGGACCTGGTTTGCACATGCCATAAATGCCTTGATATTGGACTAGCTGGGTCCTACAATAAAAACCATGTGTTTTGTAATGACTGAGGTTGATTCTCATAGACATGTGAATCGTAATCCCCGTATACAACGCCCTATGGCGTTGTTAAAAAGGCAAGTTAAACCCATGTGTTATGTACTGTACATCGCAATGAATTTGGGTTGCTACATGCACTGTGTGTCGAATTCAATGCGAGGTGTTGATTTGTGAGGGATTTGACTACGTTTTCACTTATGTCTCATGCACCCGATCAGCACTAACTGCTCCTCGCAGCTCAAGGACCTGGTAGATACCTCAAGGGGTTGGGGGGGGGGGGGGATTTAGGAGGAAAGGTTGGAGGGGTCTGAGAAAGGGGGGGGGGACTTGGTGGTTGTAGCTCGATTGGAGGGTTTGGAAGCAGCAAAGGTTTAGTGGGCAGAAGTTGGTAGCTTCAGGTTGCTGAGTAACAAAGGAGCTCATAAGAGAGGGAAGCGGCCCCACTAGCATTGATCGGTGGAAGATGGTCATGTAGGCACTCTCTGGAGTCTTATGTTGGAGGTGAGTGTGTACCGATCACAAAAATAATACGAAAGAAGAAAGGTTTTGTATGCCCGAGACTGCATCTTCTACAAGAAAAATTTTCTCAATGACTTCGAGCGCGACAAAGAATGCCAACAGAGGGATCCTGATCGCTACAGTCGAACGGAGTTTTGCCACCCTCAAGATGAAGCAGATGCGGCCGAAGAATATTATCCGCCCGATAGTGCAGCAACAAGACCCTCTACAGTTCTGCAGCCATCCAAGTCAGCAGCCAAACCATTGTTCGACTCCTATATTCCATTGACGCGTGACAACAATACAACTACTCTGCCCTTCATTCCCCTCTCAGATCATTTGCTTCTTGCCACAACTTAGGGTGCCCATAATTATGAGGAGCACCTGCGCCGACATAAAACTGAGGCAGCATCACATGACGGTGCCAGCCATCTGCCATCTAAAATTGACTACGATGGCATCGTCAAAGTTTGTCAACCACATCCTCGTGATGACTAATCGGCTCTTTAGATCCTCGGCCTTGCCGTAGCATTTCAGCAACCAATAGCTCGGATTGAGCCGAAAATAGTCAAGCAAACCCCCTCTGGATCTGATTCTGACAAGAGGCGAACAGCTATGAATGCCAAGGTAGCAGCTCTCGAGAGGCAGAAAACGTGGAAAGTCGTTACGCACAAAGGAGCACGCACCAAGAAAATTCTTTCAGGCAAGTGGGTCTTTCGCATAAGGACAAATGTAGTAGGCAAACCAAACAGATTCAAGGGGAGATGGGTTGTTCGAGGTTTCGAACAAACCCACGGCATCGGCTACGACCAGTCTTTTTCTCTGGTCAGCCGCCATGCCTCAGTTCGAATTCTTCTCACCATTGCTGCCAGCCGCCACCACCACTTCGCCAACTGGACGCTTAAAATGTGTTTTTTTTTTTTTTAACGCAAACCTTAATGCATATATTTTTGTCGAGTTTCCCCACACTTGCGACAATGGACTCCACATCTGCAAATTACTGAAGTCCCTCTATGACATCAAACAAGATCCTCACCTGTGGCAGCAGTATCTTCAAAAGTTCTAATTTCACTCGGCTTCGTGCAACTGCCCCACGACCCTGGAATGTACAGACTCGAATTTCAGGGGCATTACATTCTTCTAGTCGCCTACATGGATGTCATCTCGTGCAACCATATCTGGCGCGCATGGAAACAAGAATCCAAGAGATTCTCGACATTACTATTTGTATTTTCCCCACCGTTATCCAATTCATTGGGTTAAACGTCGACTGCGGCCCCGATTGTCAACAAATATATTTATACATATATGTGTAGGCTAGGTAGGTGTTCTATTGGTTCTTACTG